CTCTTGTGAATGCCCCTGTGTTGGCTGCCCGAGTCCCTAGCAAACATTTTCTCGTCCATACAGATGCTTCCATGTATAGACTGGGGGCTGTGCTGAGCCAAGTTGGGGAGGATGGAGGAGAGCACCCTGTCACATACTTAAGCAGAAAGTTATTACCTCGTGAAGTTAGTTATGCAGCAGTGGAGAAGGAGTGCTTGGCCCTGGTCTGGGCACTGAAGAAATTGAGTCCTTTCCCTTGTGACTGACCACAACCCATTGGTCTGGCTTAACCGAGTCTCCGGGGACAATGGCAGGTTGCTACGTTGGAACCTAGCCCTGCAGCCATATAACTTTATCATCAATTACCGACCCGGTAAGCACAACGGCAATGCCGATGGGTTATCCCGGCAAACAGACACCACTCCGGCCTCCTAGTCCGGTCATCCCCAAGTTGATCCGCAAGGGTCTGCCAGAGTGTCCCACAAGGAGGGAGCCGTGTGACAGAACTGTCTGTCTGTGGATTGTGTTTATTCTCTCTGTTCGTCTGGTTAGTTCCTTGCCCGTACAGTCCCCGTGTGTTCCCTTGTTATTTCCCGAAAGACGCACAAAGGCGCGACCACCGGGAAGCTGGCGTGTGCCGCCAATTGACCTCCCCATAGCTAGTGTGTGCCGTCAATTCACCACCCAGTATCTGCAGTTAACCGCAGCTTAATTGACTGTTACCGGGTGGTCATGGTTACACATGGCGGCCGCACGGTGGCGGCATTCTACAGCTCCCGGACAGCCAGAGGTATTTAGTGAATGTTGTATGCCATGGAGCCTATTCGTGTAATAAAAGACTTTGGCTCCATGGCAGTTGAACTGTATGTGTGTGATCTGAGCGCCATTCAGTAATAATGTGCGCTCAGACCTAAGCTATCTGGAGATGTGTTACATGTATAGGTTTTATGTATAATTCGTGACGTTGTGTATTTTATTGCATTTCCCTCTCCTGTTGTCACCTCGTGGGTAATGGCGATTTGCCTCTGTCCTGGGAGATAATTGAATTACTTCCCAATTATCCCCAGGACAGAGAGGCGGGAACGCAGTGTATCCTGGGAATGTTTTACCCCTTGTATGTCTGCCCCACAAACACTGCCCCCATACACACACTGCCCCACAAACACTGCCCCCCATACACACAGTACACACCCATACACACACTGCCCCCCATACACACACTGCCTCCCACAAACACTGCCCCCATACACACACTGCCACCATACACACACTGCCCCAAACACACACACTGCAACCCTGACATACACTGCCGCCCTCACGCACTCGCACACACACTGCACCTTTTACACACTTCACCCCTAACACATTCCACTGCTCCTATGCCCTATATCCCAGCAGACGACAGGTAAGTTGTCAAACTGTTCTTAAACGGTTTGACTACTTACTCTTGGATGGGATCCTGGCACTACTGGCGCCATAACTACTACACTGAGTTGTAGTGGTTATTGTACCTGGATTATTTCTTTAAATAATCTACAAGTGCTCCTCCCGAAATCAAGCTCTGGATCCGCCACTGCCCTGGTAGTGGTCCAAATAGGTGCTTCCCCCATTCTCTGATAATATTTTACCTGCTCCTCCTGAGGTTTGCAGCATAGCAAGCTGTCGAGTGTATGGCATGGGTTAGGGGCCATTGATTCATATCCCCACGCACCCCTATGATTGGCTGAGTGAATTAAGCATGATTGACATTAAGTCAAGATCTGCCTCCTGCATGTTCAGGCTGCTGGCTTTCTGTGCGAGCTCGCCTGCATCCGCTACCAGAGTCGGCCTTAGGCCTTTAGATGCCCTATACAGAAAATCTTCATAGCACCTTAAGTGACCACACCCTCTCATCCTATATCTCCTACCATTAAAAAAAAAAAAAAAGCATTAATTGCTGGAAATTTAAACTGGATTCTAAATATATAGACAAAATAGTCAAAATTAGCATTTCCCATGTTTCTGCCACCTTTTCAATTTCTACTGATCCTCTAAGTGTATGCCATTGATGTGTTGGATCGCTGCTTGAAGTGTTGAATGTATGTGGGGACGTATGTGTGGGGGAACACAAATTGTGTTACTGTTTGAGGGGAGGCTGCTTATGGTATTGCCTGTTTGTAGGGACCTATTTTGTCAGTGACACTGCTTGTGGGATTGACCTGTGTGGTTAGGTGCTGTTGTCTGTGCGTGGATAAGATATGTAGTATTTGTTGGGGAAAGAGGACAGGGGCTATTGTGTGTGTATGGAAAATTAGAAACTGTAGGGTTTGTACATGTAGCAGGATATGGGCTGTAGTGTGTTTGTTGGTGATAGGGGCTAGATTGTGTGTGATGGACTGAAATGTGGAGAGATAGGGGTTGTAGTGTGGGAGGCGGGGCTGTTGTGTATGGGGTGGGGGCTGTAGTATAGAGGGTAACTGCTGTAGTGTAGAGGGAAATAAGGGCTACAGTGTGAGAGGATTGGTCTTTAGTGTAAGGGTTTTGGGGACTGTAGAAAAGAGGGTGAAGGCTGTAGTGTAGAGAGATATAGGGGTATAGTTTGAGAGGGTGGGGCTGTATTGTAAGGGAGTTGGGTGCTGTAATATAGAGGGAAGTAGGGACTGTAGTGTGGGGGGCAGGGTCTGCGGTGTAGGGAGAGAGGGGGTGCTGTAGAGTACAGAGGTTATGACTGTAGATGTTTGTGGGGCAAAAAAAAAAAATGTATTAAAAAAATCCCCTTTCCCTCTTGCTTACTTTAGTAAAGGTAATAATACTGATAGTGGAGGGCTGATTTAAGAAAATACAGAAGAGAATAGGGTAAAAAATAGGAGACCTAAATACCTATATAATGCTAATACAAGATAACTATTAAACCCTTCTCCTCTAAGCAATAGGATATACCTATAAGCAGAAATAGTTGATTATATCCAAATCTTATACAAAAAAGGTAAGAGAATCGGCACAAAGTAAAGATCCAAAAATGTGGAAAAAATATTAAATAAAAGTAAAAGTCCAATTAGGTTTCCCAAAAAGATATCCTAATTTGTTCACTCCATCCCGTCGATCCACATGCATATAAAACAGAAAAAGGGTATCAATTATCATGAACTCCTTATTTGACACATTAGTTAGAAAGTTAAAATGTATTTATTCCAATAATGTTAAAAAAAATATATATATAAATACATAAAGAACATTTAGATCTAAAAAAAAAGTATTCAGTTTTTCAAAAGATCACAAATAAAGCCATAAAAGAGTCCAGACCTTATCTGAAATGCTCGGAGTCCCGGGTCAGCTAGATGTGCTGCAAAGAATACAGATAGTGATTTTTCTCTATGGTTTCAATGATGGCTGTTAGTGATGTGAGTCAGACCTCTCCAGACGCGTTTCTCCGCTCTGCGGCTTTATCAATGGATGCGGTCTGTCTTCATGTGTTCGTTTATATAGCAACCGCCGGCATGTTTTCTCAGCGCTTATTACAAACTAGCAGTTCAACTTTTAATAACTTTGTATCCACTATGTATCATAATGGATAGCTCTAGGTTCTGTGCAAATCTCTGTTACTTACTTTAATTAACACTCCTACTAGCCGTTATTATCGGCACATTTTATAATTTCAATGTTTACTATTGTTTCTATAGCAACACCCGCTTTACTAATTTAAATTTAACTGACGTTTATTAACCGATCTGTATAGAAAGGATAGGGGTAGAAGTAAAGAGAAAGGAATAGATCACTGGCATCAGGGCCAGATTAAGAGCCCAGTGGGCCTGGTGCTGACAATTATGACTGGCCTAATTACAGAATCATATCGACCAAAAACAGTAAAACACTCCCAAGCATCATGTATCTGATGGAGATGGTGCTGGAGAGAAAGAAAACAGCAGCTATAAGAAAACACACACTCTATGCTAATCTCCCTCTAATTTATGTTTTCATCTTTCAAGTAAATCCATAACCCCTAACAGCAGTGTCCAGTCAGGCAGGAAGTCAATGGGCATGGTTAAAGGGTGTGCCACTGACACAAATCACTCCCAATGTCCCTTAGTGTCTCAGTGTCTGCCATAATGTCTCCCAGTGTCCCTTAGTGTCTCAGTCTCTGCCATAATGTCTCCCAGTGTCCCTTAGTGTCTCAGTCTCTGCCATAATGTCTCCCAGTGTCCCTTAGTGTCTGCCATAATGTCTCCCAGTGTCCCTTAGTGTCCCAGTGTCTGCCATAATGTCTCCCAGTGTCCCTTAGTGTCTCAGTGTATGTCTCCTTGCAGCCTTTCCCCCCATCCCTCACTTCCCTGAGCTGTAGGCTGTTTCTGCAGGGTGGGAGTTGCTGTCTGGACTCTCTGTAGCTGCACCCCTGCAGATCAGTGAGTATAGATAGGCCGGGACGGATATGCTGGAACTTCCTATCCCTGCCTGTCTCCACACACAGTGACCCCTACTGGCCAGTGCTGGTAGATATTAAGATGAAGTTGTCATGATATAGAATCTAGTTCTTTAATCATCTATGTCGTATCCCTGAGGTGTGACTTGACATTTGACACAAATGGTTGCAGGAATGCATCTATGTACTGGGACAAGTTAGATGTGATGGAGTTGATCCCTGAGATAATTGGTCTTCCAGGTGGTGATGTTAGATCCTTTTGGAATTTGGGTAAAAAGTAGAAGGTGGGGATTTTGGGGAAAGGGGTGTTAAGCAATCTATATTCAGACTCCTTCAGAATACCCATGTCCTTAGCCTTAACCAGCATGTTTTCAAGTGCCTTCTTTATCCTATTGAGTGGGCATAAATTAAGTAATTTTCCCTCGGACTGTAACGGCCTGTGTCAGTCTGAGGGAAAGAAGGGAGGGAGGGGCAGGTGGGAGGTGCAGGTGCGGCCCATTTAGGCTGCAAGGCTGAGGCAGTTCTGAGTCTCCCTTGTGAATCTTCAGCAATTCGTGTCTCTATTCTCCTCCCCCGGATGCAAGCCCCGACTCTCGGACGCAAGCCTTGTGCTTAAGCCCCGCCACCCCACACGCTGCTGACCTGGAAGGAAGAGGTCAGAAAATGGAGACATCACCTCCCAGTGCTCCTTGTCTCCCACAGCCTTCTGTGATAGGTAAGTAAGGTGACGTGGCTATGGTGCTTTAGAGTGCAAAGTTACTTAAAACTTGCCTATAGTTCCTGGAGGGCAGAGAATTGTAAAGACTGAGTCTAAAAACATGTGGTTGCCATGGTTGACTGCCCACACAGTTTATAGACTCTATGGATGCACTTTCACAGATTTCCATTTATTTATCCCATTTTATTTTTGCTTTTGTCTTTACACTATGTATCCTAATCTTTTAGTTTCTCTAATTTACCTTGTTATATTGATTTTGCCTAAATTATATTTATTTTAAATGTAAAAATGTATTTGGTCATATGGCAAAATAAATTGTTTTGGTGGCATTTTAAAAATAATATATATATATATATCTGCTTTGAGTTTTATTTTTCTAAATAAAGCAAAATAAGTTTTCCGAAATATGTTCCAGATTCCACTAATTTCTAAAGCAGTATTTTTATATAAATTTTTTACCATGCACCTTTTATTAACATGAAATATATAATCCAGGAATTATTTTACTGTAAAAAGATGTTTGGCTGTAAAAAGCAATTAGCAGGGTATTTCTGTTGAAACCTTTTTATTAAAAATGAAATCCAATGGGACGTAGGACGCCACTCTGAAGTGGTACGTCTGGACGTCCGTAATGGAAACATGTGACCGGAACCAATGACGCCGGAATGCAATGATGTAGATGACGTCCCGACGTTAATACCGGAAGCGAAAAATGCGGTCACAGCGGAAAAAGAAGGTGCCAAATACAAGTATTTAAATCTGAATGCCTTGGATTTCAATATCACTTCGGATGAAGGCAATAGCTGAAACGCGTCAAGTGATTGGACTTACATTGTGTGACTTATTTATTTTATTGTTTCTGTTTTTAAATTTACTTCAAGATTTTTGGAGAAGAACGTTTTTTGTAACCCCCTGTTATTCTGCATCCTGGAGGCATTATACATAAAGAAGCCAGAAGTTCCCAGTAGAGATCCTGCTATATATTCAAGGCATTCAGTCTGAGCCAGCTAATTAAGTGGCTCCCCTTATGTGAGTGAGACCAACACCTATGTACAATTATTTGTGTTTGACTATATTACCCTATGTCTTTCTTTTTTGGTTTTATTTCCTAGATTGATTGACTTCAGTGTGGGTAGTATCTCTTCTTTTATTTTGTGTGCTCTCACCATATTGTTATTTTTATTATTCACTTATTGTCTGTTGTGGTTTGTGTGGCCCACAAAAGTGAGAGTAGCACCAATACCTTTAGGGATTATTTCACTATCATACTTTATTGTTTCACATATTTAGTTTTGATATACCTCAATAGAAACAATAGGCAGTTTTCACTAATCAAGGTGTGTGTATATATATATTATAGATATTATATAAAGGTAAACCAACTCAATAAACAATTTATCTGCATAATATTACAAAGGCTGGGGGTAGGATTTTTCAAAAAGCCAATAAATAAATAAATGCATAAATGTAATAAAATAAATAGTGATACAGTTGCAAGAAAAAGTGTGAACCCTTTGGAATGATATGGATTTCTGCACAAAGTGGTCATAAAATGTGATCTGATCATCATCTAAGTCACAACAATAGACAATCACAGTCTGCTTAAACTAATAACACACAAAGAATGAAATGTTGCCATGTTTTTTGTAGCGGATGGCACCGGGCTGTCCTGCATATATATTGTACATAACTGCATTCGTGTGATCTGCTGTGATATATGTGTTTTTTAAAAGAATTGTATTCCTCTGATTGTTCGCTAGTTTCATTCCCTTAGTTCATTCGAATGAAACTACCGAACAACCAGACCTCCCCTGTGTGAAGTGTGTCTTCAATTACCCGTTGCAACATTGTTGCGAACGGGTAATTGACTAGTAAGTAGCCGTCCTTTGTTCTCGGGGGTGGCCGCCATTCGACAAACGAACACGTGGCGGCGGCCATTTTAAAACTCCCGAACAGCGGTGTTTTGCCGTCGAGTGTCTGGAACTAAAATCGGACACTTGAGTAGGCGAACACCGCTGAGACCTCCACAAGCCCGGTCCGTTCGGTTCCTAACTACCGAACGGCCCCTCGTTCGGTAGATAGCAAAAACCGAACGAGGGGATTCAGACGAACCCTCCCTAGTCTCTATAGCAAGAGGTTTTCGTGTATTTTGTTCCCTTATGCCAGGACCGACCGCAGGGCCCATTCGCATGGAACCTCATTCGGCTGTCTCAGTTAGTGCGGTTGGTCATTTTATTCCCTCCATACATTTCCCGAACCCCTGGTCTGATCTGGGTGATTTTTGGATATGTTGTTCACCCAGATCAGGGCTATCTGGGGATGTAGGATTTAAAGAGGTACCCCTACGTTTAGGGGTACATCCAGAAACGGGGGGAATTACTGTACTGGATAAGGGGATTATGATGCTGGCTGAGGGGAGGAGATGTGTGGGAGGTTACCAGGACAGGATTGGCTACTGTATTAATGAGTGTAAATCCCTCCCTTGCATGGGAGCATGCTTTAAAAGGAGACTGTGGATTAAAGCTTTCAGTTCTGCTCCTGAAACTGTGTGTCGTCCAGTTATTGGGATTGCTGTGGGGATATTGCTGTTATTTTACCTGCTGGAAACCTTGCCTGTGGATTTATTATTTACTTGTTCCTGAGCCTCACTTGGATCATAAGCAGAGATAACCTGGGGAATATTGCATCTCCGCTACATTTTTATTGAACACACCATGTAAACATTCACAGTGCAGGTGGAAAAAGTATGTGAACCCTTGGATTTAATAACTGGTTGAACCTCCTTTGGCAGCAATAACTCCAACCAAACTTTTCCTGTAGTTGCAGATCAGACGTGCACAACGGTCAGGAGTAATTCTTGACCATTCCTCTTTACAGAACTGTTTCAGTTCAGCAATATTCTTGGGATGTCTGGTGTGAATCGCTTTCTTGAGGTCATGCCACAGCATCTCAATCGGGTTGAGGTCAGGACTCTGACTGGGCCACTTCAGAAGGCGTATTTTCTTCTGTTTAAGCCATTCTGTTGTTGATTTACTTCTATGCTTTGGGTCATTGTCCTGTTGCAACACCCATCTTCTGTTGAGCTTCAGCTGGTAGACAGATGGCATTAAGTTATCCTGCAAAATGTTTTGATAAACTTGGGAATTCATTTTTCCTTCGATGATAGCAATCCGTCCAGGCCCTGACGCAGCAAAGCAGCCCCAAACCACGATGCCCCACCACCATACTTCACAGTTGGGATGAGATTTTGATGTTGGTGTGCTGTGCCTTTTTTTCGTCACACATAGTGTTGTGTGTTTCTTCCAAACAACTCAACTTTGATTTCATCTGTCCACAGAATATTTTGCCAGTACTGTTGTGGAACATCCAGGTGCTCTTGTGCAAACTGTAAACGTGCAGCAATGTTTTATTTGGACAGCAGTGGCTTCCTCTGTGGTATCCTCCCATGAAATCCATTCTTGTTTAGTGTTTTACGTATTGTAGATTCGCTAACAGGGATGTTATCATTTGCCAGTGACTTTTGTAAGCTGACACTCTAGGATTGTTCTTCACCTCATTGAGCAGTCTGCGCTGTGCTCTTGCAGTCATCTTTACAGGACGGCCACTCCTAGGGAGAGTAGCAGCAGTGCTGAACTTTCTCCATTTATAGACAATTTGTCTTACCATGGACTGATGAACAGCAAGGCTTTTGGAGATACTTTTATTGATTAACGGATTGAAAGGGCATCAGTTGTTAGCCCTCCCTGACAAGGAAATAAAGCAAGTGGTTGCTCAGGGAGGTGGCCCAGTGGGTCCCCCAATTGCAGCAGATTAATCACCAATTCTCCAGAGCACTGGAGAATGGCATCCATGCGGATAACAGAATAAGCTCCCACTACCCGTACAGTTATTTTTAATGTCTATCAATCCAGTTACAAATATTTTACTGTGTAGGAAGTCAAACTGCAAACTTTACCTCTGTTTTTTTCAGCCTAGATTTTAAAAGAAATGTGACCCCATATGCTTTCCATTCCAGATTAACCTAAATATTTATCATCACTCTGTCCTACATAAAAAAACTATCTTCAAATACCTCATTAAAGTATTGAGCTTGTTTATAACTTACATTTTTTTTCAAAGCAATTACCTGCCAAAGAAAATCCCCTGCCATCTTACAGCATAAATAAGTTCTAGTCTACATGCTGAAATGTATTAATGCTTTCCATAGCACAATAGGCAAAATCCAGTGGCTGAACAGAGGTCACAACACGTACAAGGATGATAAGAATGCTAAAAGCACCGCTGGTCCTTGGAGAAAACATACACGGGATTCCTAGTGGAATTAATGGTAACCAAGGGTGTTTTGTATGTAACTACGTTGACACTTAAAACACCATTGTATAAGAATTTTGCATCCTTGTAAAATTCTTTAGATGCTTTATTTGTAAAGGGATTTGTGAAACTTATTGCAAAAAAAAAAGGCCTTCAGTATATTACATTAGAAATCTAAAACTCAAAATGTATTATTTAAGGCGGATCTATGGAAATGTACACAGGATTATCCACTGTTAGGCTGCACTGTGAGGAATGAGAATCTTGTTGGCAGTTCTTACTAGTGTCAAAAAAGTGCTATTTTCTATATAAACTAGTGATTTTAAACTCTGAAATGTATTTATATTTACGAGGTCTGTCCAGAAAGTATCCAGCCATAAACTATGAAAAATAGAGACATTTATTGAAGAAGATACAAGAAACATTTTACATCATTTTGCTTGTGATAATCCTTCTCCCATTGAACACAGAGTCTCCTACTTCTACTCCCTGCTCCTAACACAACCACCTTTCCTTATTCCATTTTGTACAGGAAACTGAGACATGTCCAGTATCTACTAAATCCTACTAAATAGCATACACATTTCTCTCTCTCTAGTATCGTACTTTCTGTCAGATACAGTTTTTACATTCTGTGGTCTCTACCTATTATGATAACTGCTGATGCTGCCAGGAACTCTGCTCCATCTTTGTTGGGAGTATCCTATTACACAACCTTTGTAGCATTAAACACATGACATATTGAAACGGTTCAGACGCACCTCCACCCTTCCTTTCTGCACCTTTCCTTTCTGCTTACTTTCTCCTAGATGTAAAAAGTCACTCCATATTAGAATTTTGAATGTTGCTAAACATTTGGTGCCTATCTTTTGAAAGAGGTCAACTTGCCCTCCAATGAGTTTATGGTTCTATCACATGGAAGAACTCAAAACTATTGAGGAAATGATGTACAGTGCTATTTACAGACTGCCGGTGTAGTCCACAATTTGATCTCACTAGCTTCTGGCAACTCATACT